TGTGATTGCCTCTCACCCCAGCAGGCCTGGGTTCAATCCCAGTCGGCGCCGCCGGGATGTTCTGAGGCATAACATCTCTGATGGGAAGTAAAGCCGTTGGTCCCCGGTTTATGAGTTGATGGGTCGATAGGTAGGGTCCAGGTGTGGGAGCTGCCTTCCTAGCGTCGGTAGCATTTGTGCTCAGCACGGAAAACAAGATCGACGGAAAAAAAATCAACGAAAAAAAAAAGTTTACATAAGCTAAAAAATATATTATTATAGCTTTGAAGTTAGCTCAAAGACATCAAAACTATATCTTATCTGCTGAAAGAGTCGGCAGCACCTCTACAACGGCTATTGTTTTATTATTGGGCTATATGTTTGTGCTTGGGAACCATAATTTGTATGATAAAACTTTGTATTAAAGGTTTCATATAGGAAAACCGTAAGCGTAAATTGGTACTTGAATTGAAAATATATTGGCTTGAGTAATTACAAAACGGCAATGAGAATGAAAAGAGGTGAAATAACGATGAAGAAAGTGAGAATTATGGCATTAAGGAAAAAACAGCTCCTTAGTTTTTATCGACATCTAATTGTATCATAGAGCTTGAAGACACTAGAAAGTTCAAGCATGGGATATGGGAGTCTCATATACCAAAATAGCAACACACCATAATAGGAAGTAGCCATAAATGGTACAACTACCCTATAAACGTTGTCCTACGTCAACAGTTCGTACAACCCTATCACTTGTTGATTTTAGTCAGAAGACAATTTATAAACAAATTTGAAATAAATTTGAAACAAAATACCTACGAAGTAAGTTTTATTCAATACCTTTGAAATGACCTTTAGAGAATTTAAATTGGTCGTATTATTTGTCCAGCTTAGTGTGAACTGCGCAGTAAAACTGTAGGTATAACATATTTGCAATATTTCTGTCTTTTTTTCAGCATTGCGTGATATTTATTTTAGATATTTTTTCATAATCATCATCCGATGTGAAATTTTTGAACGTGGTTGGTTATGAAAAAATGTTTAAAATTTACTTAGCTACAATTTTGCTGAGAAATATGCGTCTCCATTTACAAAAATAAGGAATTTTGTTTTAAAATATGGTAAACACACCAATAGTGGAGTTACGATAGTGCAATGTGTTCCTATAGTGGCTTATGGAGACTCCATAAGCCACTGTAGGAACACATTGCACTAACGTACCTCCACTATTGGTGCTTTTACCCTATTAGTTAATTTTAGAACCTCCCTGACGTCAGCAGTTTTGCATTATGGTAAACGCACCAATAGTGGAGGTTAGTGCAATATGTAGCTATAGTGGCTTATGGAGACTCCATAAGCCACTATTAGACCACATTGCACTAACATATTTCATATTCAAAACTTGGTGTACAGGGTGCGTGACGAATTTTTGCAGTAAATTTCAAATAGTAATTTCTCATGCTTGTGCATCATGATTTAGATATATTTGGCAGCACAGGATAGCTTATACTGGTAGGTGTAAGATTTAAACAAACAATGTTTAGTAAACGTAAAGATGTCGAAACAAGAGAGCAATCTGTCAGCCGTTGTCGCTTTGTTGCGCGCCGGAGTATGCATGAAAGAAATAATTCGGTCGGTAAATGTGTCTGAAAGAACAGTGTATAATATTAAAAAAAAGCTTGGGAAAGTGATAAGACGGAGCACCTGCTCATACTGCTAATAAAGCACAGAAATGGCTTACGGAAAATATTTCGTAAATTTGGGAGGAAGAAATTTGGCCCCCAAGCAGTCCCGATATCAATCCGTTTGATTATTTTGTATAGGGCGTCGTCCAACGGGATACTAATAGAACCCCTCACACCACACTTAAGTCGCTAAAAGCTAAAATCAAGGCAGTGATGACATCTATGGATCAAAACATTTTAAAACGTGCATACTGCAGTTTCCGGAAGCGTCTAACTACAGTCGTCGAAAGGGAAGGCAATTTTTTTGAATTAATTTACTTACAACTTCCATATGTTGCGAAAGAAAATAAATCGCACAAAATTCATTGCTAGGATAACTAACTGGTGTATTTTTTCTCAAATATGCCATTTACTGCAAAAATTCTAGGTGTGATCCTAGACTCCAAACTTACTTTTGTAGAACATTATCATACAATCATAACGAAAGCAAATAGTATGTTGCACTTCATTAAGAGGTTCGGCTATAATTTTCAAGACCCATACACTATTAAATTATTATATATTACATACGTAAGACCTATTTTGGAATACTATTACCTAGTATGGAGTCCGTATATTACCATACACGAGGAACGCATAGAATTCGTCCAAAAACAATTCCTTTTATGTACCCTTCGCAAATTGAATTGGATCACATTTCCTCTTCCATCATATGAAGCACGCTGCATGCTCATCAACTTACAAACACTCAAAGGACGCCGCGAATTTGCAATGCTTTCCTTCATCAATGACATTATTTCCCATCGCATAGAATCATCAGAAAAACTTTCACAATTTAACTTCTACACATTCTGTCGGCATCTAAGAACACGAAAATTATTCACAGAAAAATCACACAGAACAAATTACGCGAAAAATGGCCCCTTCAATCGAATGATGCGACAGTATAATCTACACTATGAAGTCATTAGCTTCACTATGACAAAAGAAGAAATTAAAACCCCACTAAAACATAATAGAAATAATGCATAGTTTGTAAGTAAAACAATGGTTACAGTATGTAGTCAACTTTCCTTGACGAAATAAATAAATAAACCATCAATGTAAACTAACGTATCTCCACTATTGGTGTGTTTACCCTTTACAATTTCAACAATATTAGCGATGGGCATGCATCTAGGATAAGTTTCTTAAGAAGGTTCTAAAAGTAGCTCTTAAAGAAGATTCTAGAAAAAGCTTCTAAAATCTCCGCTCCTGACAATAAGTCTGAGTAGCTACGCAGTAACGGAGCATTTTCCCTACGTTTATGGAGCATTTTTCCAACGTTTATGGAGCATTTCATCGTTTTAATACCTACAGAAAACCTGTTTAAAATACTGAACTGCTAAGGCACAACAATGTAAACACACTTAGATATGTAGCATATCAAATAAGGTTCAAAAGTTAATGTAGTAAGGATTGTCAATGTTGTGTTGAACCGGGATCGACGCAAATAAAATTAAAGTGATAAGGAAGCAAAATGATGCATAATAATTGTACGTCAAAAATGCAAGAGGATTGTAATTTTTTAGAGGCATTCTGCTTCATTTGTGATTTTTGAGACTATATAAATGCTTTTGTGAATGATTACATGGGAACTAGAACTTTTGCCGTGCTGACTCGAACTTTAGCACCTTCTTCTTCTTCCTTTAGATTTGTATGCTTCTTTTGCGAGCCCTGTGCTAGCTCCCTACTTATAGCGAATTCATTCACAAATTTTGAATTCTACTGATAATGTAAACATCGATGCATTCAAACATTCATGCATATAAACTTCCTTTTCACGTAAACTAGCAACTTTTAAGAAATGTTTGTATGGACGGTTGCATACAACATTTGGAATATTTCATGAAATGTCTCATAAATATACATGATCTATAATGTAAGGTTGTATGATATATAAAGCTCAATTTACACAACTTTTTCGAAATGTGTAGCGCAGAACCGAACTTTTTGTCAGTGCGAACCTCAACCTGAAGTAGGTTTTAAACACAAACGGTCAAACTGACGTTTGTATAAGAAAATGTAAATTTACAAAAATGTTACTGTGTCGATGCACTTCAACCGTTATTAATTAGCGATGCCGGTGGTGTAGTGGTAAGCGTGATTATCTTTCACCCCAGAAGGCCTGGGTTCAATCCTAGTCAGCGCCGCCGGGATGTTCTGAGGCATACCATTTCACGCCTTCCTTCGGAAGGGAAGTAAAACCGTGGGTCCCCGGTTCATAAGTTGATGGGTCGATAGGTAGGGTCCAGGTGTGGGAGCTGCCTCCCTGTCGTCGGTAGTTTTTGTGCTCAGCACGGAAAACAAGATCGACGGAAAACAAATCAAGGAAAAAAATACAGTTATTAATTTAAAGCTTTCTATTCCAACCAATGCAAGAAATGGTAAGCACAATGATACTATATGCCCAGGGAAGTAGAGCAAAGTTTCAACCCGAAAGACTTCCTCGACCGGATCAGGAAACGATATTTTCTTGAGCTATTTGAAGATTCCCTTGATTGATTGATTGATTGATTGTATGCAAACAATGAAAGAAAGAAAACCCTTGTTTTATCTTCATGCACAGCAAAAACTTTATGATATCACATCAAAGTGGATGCACTTTAATAGTGTCGAAAATATGGTGTAATATTACTTGCCAAAAAGGACAAAAATATCATTAATATAGTGCATGAACTGACATTACGCTGCTTTTACTGCATTTGTTTATTTTTGTGGCCATAAAAATTACATAAGATTTTCTACATGGTTGAAGTGCATGTAATATTAAAATTTATCTCTTGCTGTGTGCAATATTGTTATATGTTGTTAATATAACATTATAAAACACAGGCATCATTCGAATTGCTTTAAGGTTAAATTGCTTTTTTCAGACCGCACTTTCGGTTTCACAGGATGTTCACAGGATTCTGCCAATGCTGGAAATTCGGTATCAAGCAAACGAAAGAAAAGATAAATTCCATTTTACGATCCAAATATTTCTACACGTTTCACTCTTATGGATTTTAACACATGAAGGTGTAGTCGCTGAAAGCAGTCTTCGTTGGGATGAAATTTCGACGCAGGTGGAAATTTTACAAATATTTCATAGCATGACTGAAATAATATGTATTACATTTCCTTCAGTCGACGGATGAAGGAAACATCTCATGCTGTTTAAACATTTGACTGGAAAAAGTGGAAAGATCAATCATGGATTGTATCCCCTTGATGGAGCTGAAGGTCAAAATTTATGAGCCTGATAGCCAAGTAATATTTAATCGATCATCATTTTTCGTTATTATTTGTCCTTACCTTTTTTTACAATTCTTTTTTCTGTTACACATTGTATAAACCATATCCTTTGTTTGCTTCCATATCGATCACGTACAAGTAATTACAGGTCATGTTTGTAGCACTTTATTTAATACTTTTTTTCCTCACACTTTATGCTTGCAACTCGTATTCACTTCACAGATATTCCGATTTCACAAGATGCTGCGAGCAAACACCAAAATCATCACTTCTCAACCGGTAGCAATCCCTGCATCAGAAAAGCTTTCAGAACATTTATTTTTCACTCGTTGGAGGCTCTCATCATTGATGCTTGCGGATTTGGATTTGTGATTGCTGTTACACTGGTATCATATCTGAAAATAAAACATCCTGTAAGACTTAGCGGTACATGCATGTCTGCCATGATTTTTTCGCCTTGCGTCTGGTTGTTGATGCGATGGATATGACAACATAAGGATTTATAGCAAGAAGCAAGTTCAATTTTCAATTAAAGGGAGATTCATGCCCAGTATTTGCTTTCAAGACATTTCTCAAGGTTTAAGGTGAATTCCGACATAAGCGTGCATGCTCGGAGTGAAGCGGGATTTGCGGTGGTATTAGAGAGACAACTATCACTAATTTTCTCTCTCTCATACCACCGCAGGTTTTCAAATTTTAAGTTATAGAAGAATAATTGTGCCAATGTTTAAGCTGATAAGATCCTATTCTTTTCACTATATTCAAAAGAGATTGACAGAACCAATAATAAAATAAACGAAATTTTCAATTAACAATATCCATGTTATTTAAGCGTGAGCTAGCTCTCCATGTTGGGTAAAACAAAAGATTATCACAAACAGTATTGGAGTAACATGCAACTATGTCGTCAAACAAATTTGTATCTAAATGAAGCGTCTACTGTTTCAAAATACTTGATAAACATATTTCAAAACAAAACTGCAGCATTCTAGTCGAAGTTCTAACTCCACTAACTGGCTCCACTAGAGAATAGACTGGCCCACAAAAATAAAAGTTCAAATTTTCCACGGGCCAACTACTAGATTTGTAACATTAGGTGAGAAAACCATTCTCTGAAAGTTTTAGCCCATTTGATTGTAAGGTGAGCTGGTGCTTTCAATTTGAATGTTGTATGGGAATTTTGATTAAAATGCTTCCCTGACGTTGGTATGCGGAAATGCTTCCCTGACGTTGGTATGCGGCTCTGTAAAGTTAATTCGGTTGAGCCTTATCAAATAAATTAATTAATAATAAAAAAAGGTATTTTGTATATGAACATTTCAACCAAATCCTCTACATAAACATTAAACCAAAGGAGCCAACCCGCGTATCACACCAAATTCCTTAAATTATGTTCGGTACTTTTTCTGCTGAATTCGTTCCGTAAAACATAATGTTTTTACCAATTTACAGCAATCCAAATTGCTGAACTTCCGTAAGCTACAGAAAATCGCCAAATACTGTAGAAAAAAATACTGAACAAAACTGTAAATTGTTGGAATTCCGTAATACTATAAAAAAGTATGACGAATGTTCTGTAAGAAAACGTTTTACAGAAAACAAACGGTAGTGAAGTGCTGGATTTTTGCAAAAAATACCGAGCAGATTTGCGGACTTACCGTTATACTCAACCTTTGGCTGCCATTTTGAAGTTGTTCTTTGAATTTCCGGTGTGAAAAAGTATTTATTCAAATGTCAATGTCCTAAAAATCAAATACTTCAATATATGACAACTTTAAGTAAGGGGTTCGAGATCTCCTCGGTAAGTACAGCCCGTAAGTACCGATCGGTCTATGATTAAATTAATTTGCATTTTTTTTACATAACATACATCAACAGCTTTCAATATCGTCAGCCTTTTCCGGTCTACGTAGAGTCAAGTTTCTATGTTTCTCGAGGAATCACTAGCACTCTCAATCACCATCTCATGTCAACAAAGGAAAAATTAAAGTTTTTAACGTTTCAAATTATTTGTTGTTGTTTCCATCAAATACTGAAGAAAAAACTAATCAAAATGCTACAACAAAACGTTCGGTAAACTATACCAATCATTCAGCAATATTTGCAGTGCGGTTCAGTAAACTTTGACAACTCAAGAGTGAAGTTGAATTTGCTGAACGTACTGTAAAACAAAAAAATTACCGAATGTTCTGCTGTTCCATATTCGGTAAAAAATTACAGTATACTGTAAAAAAATCTTAGTGTGTACGTCAAAATCATCTGAAACATTCAGAAAGTGGTAATCTTACGTAAAGACACGAGTCTGAATGTTGGCCTGTGGAAAGTATGAACTTTTATTTTTTTAGTGGTAATCTAGTTGATACGTTTTATAAGCTGCCTGTATTTTGTTGCAATATACGAGACGTGCAGACGTTTTTTTTTCGATTGCGCTTATCATAAGTGAAGCATTTACGGTTGGATATTTGTCTACTTCGGTGTGCCGCGTCGCGTGGTAAAGTGTTCCGCGATGAGGCGAGAAAACACTTTTAAAATCGATTATTCGAATTTCACCATCAAGCCATCGGTCGAAAAACTTTATGGATTTTGTCGGTCGGTTCTCGGTTTGAAAAGGGAAGATATCAAAAGACTACAGTGCCACAGAGGTGGAGCATGTGCGTTTATCAAAGTCAGTGATTTGGCGCTTGCACAAAAAGTTGTTGACGAACATGATGGAAAACATGAAGTGGAGTGTGAGGGGAAGAAACACAAGCTTCGGATGACGTTGGAAGACGGTAGTGTTGAGGTGAAGGTTTACGACCACCTCCCCGAAGGTGTGTCTGAAGAGAAGGTCGTACAATTCCTAAGCGCGTTCGGCGAAGTAATCTCGATTCGCGAGGTATCATGGAGTGAAAACAAAAGCGGCAACGGGAACGAAACCGATGAATCCTCCACATCCACGAGCAGCAGACGAAGCAGAGGACGTCCAGTGGGCAAAAAACCTCGTCGAGACGACGATGATATGGAAAAGGATGAGGATTCCCACCCATAAATGGCTCTCACGTCGTATAATATCTCGTCGATCAACATCGGCACCATCACGAGTCCAACAAAACTAAACGCGCTACGGAACTTCATCAATAGCCAAAGCCTCGATATTGTGTGTCTGCAAGAAGTAGAAAACGAGCAGCTCTCCTTGCCTGGCTTCGTCGTTTTCTCAAATGTGGACCACACGAGAAGAGGAACGGCGATTGCACTGAAGGAACATATCCAGGTCTCTCACGTTGAGAAAAGTCTGGATGGTCGACTGATTGCTCTAAGAGCACAAGACACGACGATTTGTAATATCTACGCTCCCTCCGGCTCCTCACAACGTGCATCTCGGGAGGATTTCTTCAATGGAACGCTTGCTTACTACCTCCGTCATCGCACTAGGCATGTCATCCTGGCCGGCGATTTTAATTGCGTACTTCGTGCATGCGATTCGAGTAGCCCGAACACGAGCCCTGCCCTTAGATCAGCTGTGCAACAATTGCAGCTACATGACGTGTGGGAAAAACTGTGTCCACGCGAGACAGGATTCACGTACGTCAATCGGAACGCACAATCACGTCTCGATCGCATCTACGTGAGCGGTGAACTGCGACAACACCTTCGAGCAGCACACACGCACGTGTGCTCATTCACCGTCCACAAAGCGTTGACACTCCGAATTTGCCTTCCCCATCTTGGACAGAAGCCTGGCCGTGGGTTCTGGTCTCTTCGGCCTCACCTTCTGACCGACGAAAACGTTGCGGAGTTCCAAAACCAGTGGCAATTTTGGACCCGGCAACGCAGAAATTATGGTTCGTGGATTCAATGGTGGCTTACATACGCTAAGCCTAAAATAAAAAGCTTCTTCAAGTGGAAATCTTGTTTGGTGTTCGAAGAATTCCATAACGAACATCAACATCTCTATACGGAACTACGGCAAGCGTATGACGGCTATTACCAGCACCCAGAAATGTTGACCACCATCAACAGGCTGAAGGGTGAGATGCTGGCGCTTCAACGAAATTTCTCCCAAACATTCATGCGAATCAACGAAACTCATGTGGCGGGAGAACCCATTTCTATATTTCAACTGGGGGAAAGGCGAAGGAGGAAAACCATCATCACGGAGCTGAAGACAGAGCAGCACGAAACTATTGCCAACCCACAAGCGATCGAAACGCACATGGTCAATTACTTCTCGACTCTCTGCTCGGAAGAAATAAGGGAGAATGTCGAAAACAGCTTCGTTTGCGAGAGAGTCGTTCCACCCAACGACCTACTGAATGAAGCCTGCACAAGCGAGATTACCACGGAAGATATTTTGCATGCAATCAGAGCAAGCGCACAGAAGAAGTCTCCAGGCTACGATGGTATCCCGAGGGAGTTTTACCACCGTATGTTCGATGTCATCCACCGAGAGCTTAATCTGCTGCTAAATGAAGCACTCACTGGTAACCTTCCCGCTGCGTTCGTGGAAGGCATCATCGTGCTGGTAAAGAAAAAGGGTAGTGACAACACGGCCCGATCACATCGTCCGATCTCGCTTCTCAACAGCGACTATAAGCTCTTCTCCCGCATCCTCAAAACCAGACTGGAGCGAGTGATGAGAACCCACAATGTTTTGAGCAACGGACAGAAATGTTCGAACTCAGAGCGAAACATTTTCCAAGCCACTCTGGCCCTCAAAGATCGCATAGCCAGTCTCCGTCATCATCGTCGTGCAGGGAAGCTCGTCAGTTTTGACCTAGATCATGCGTTCGATCGGGTCCGGCACTCGTTTCTATTCGATACCATGTGCTCGCTCGGATTCAACCCAGAACTCATCACTCAGCTGTCGCGTATTGCTAGCCGATCTACATCTCGCCTGCTGATCAATGGGCATCTCTCTCGTTCGCTCGAGATCCAACGCTCCATACGGCAAGGGGACCCGTTATCCATGCATCTCTTTGTGCTGTACCTCCATCCTCTTGTGTGTAGATTCGATCAACACTCACTGGCTTCAAACAGCCAATGTTGTCGGGGGGGACACCCCTCACCATCCCTCTCCAAAGGGGGAGTTTGGTAAAGAGAGATGAAAAAACCGATTTGTACCTTCCTTAAAAGTTGTCCTAGCTCGCTATTCTAATATCTATATGCAATCTTCACACTGCCGTACTCTAACGGAACTATCAACTCTATGCTTTCATCTACTCCATCTATCGTATAAAAATTACCACTACAGTCTGTTGTTTGAAATTAGCATCTTCAACTATCTTGGGTGTTGTTTTCGCAAACTCTATATATACGGTTAATGACAACGACAAACTGGAATGCGCTCGTGGGGAAGTTCGCGCATCAAATGTGGCTGCAATCGCTGCACAAGCTGACACTGCATCAGAAGGTGATC